GAACTTCAGAAGATCCTCTTGGCCATGTCTATATTGTTAGTTGCGTTTGATTGGCTGATTATCCTTATGTATTAATACGCTTAAAGAGGTGTACCTAATATAGTGGCCAGAGTGAACAAAATATTAAATTCTTTGTGAAATCCATGGAGACTGCACTCTGCTAGCACACAGATAAAAAAAAACTTTAAATTATTCACCAATCATTGCATTCTGCTTTCCTTTACATTATACACAAATACCCAGACTGTTTTAGAAACAGGCCTGTAGCATATTTCTGTTCTAACACAGTGTCACACAGTGTGAATTGGGGCAACGGACTGGACATAGCAGAGATGGCACATATTGGATGGAGTATTAATAGATTTAAAGTAAAAAGAAATAAAAAAAAAACAGACATGGTGAAGATTACATCAATTAGAGGTTTTGAATGAGGGTTGTGATTCATTTTTGACTTACTGCCCAGGCCTATGTGGTACACTCCCACTGTTTACAATAAGTAGCCTATCGTATATCATAAATTGACAGATTTTTTTTTCTTTCCCTCTTTCAGAGCTCTAGAAACCCAAACATAAAGGGTCTTGAGAAGACTTTCAGGATAGATGTTTTCCTGATGTTTTTCCTGAGAGACAACTGTAAAGCATACAAATTTTTTGAAAAACAACTGTCGTCAATCGACTGCACATTGGAGCTAAATTTTGATGAAGAGGAGGTTTTGGTTAGAGGAGAGGTTGACAAGGGGCCAGGAGGAGGTTTTGGTGGTGCTGCAGAGAAATGGGAGTGTCAAGTGGATCAGGTCTTTATTCGGCTCACTGAGAGCTACAACTGCTATCATGTGCTTGAGCCAAAACAGGTGAAAATGGTACTGCAGGACTCGGCCTTTAAGACAGATGATATCAAAGTTTACACAGAGAGTGGCTATGCTGTGGTTGTGGGAGAGGTTGATGCCATGAAGGAGAAGATTGCAATTCTGGAAAAAAGCCTACCCACCAGAAAGGAAGTGCCGATTGTGGAGAAGAACTTCAAGCTCATAGAAGAAGAGTTCAATCGAGAAATGCGTGCTAATTGTCCAGAGGTTACAATCATCAGAGGTAGTGCCATGATCACTTTGGAGGGCCCTGACAAAGAGGTGCAGTCAGGAGCTGCAAAACTGGTTGAACTGATTAAGAACGTAAAGGAGAAGAGCGTTAAGTTCCCTACAGCTCTGCTAACCTTCATGAAGACCAGTGATGCCATCCCAAAATACCAAACTCGCTTCCAGCA